TTGGAATTCCGATAGCATCACTTAACACCATTTTCTGTTGATTAGAGTGACTCATTAAGTCTGACCTGAATTCAAGGGAAGGGGAATTAACTTTCACTTAAAAATTTTTTTATATTTGAATATAGTTGACACACAATGTTACATTGGTTTCAGACGCACAACATGGTGATTTGACAAGTTTATACCTTCTCTATGCTGACCACAAGGACAGCTACCATCTGTCACCATAGAATGCTATTATATCATTGACCGTATTCCTTATGCTGTGCCTTTTATTCTCATGGCTTATTCATTCCATAGCTGGAAGCCTGTATTTCCCACTGCCCTTCACCCATTTCCCCACCCTCCTCTCTGGCAATGATCAAATTCTCTATTTTTATTTTTTTTAAGAGTTTATTTATTTGACAGAGAGAGACACAGTAAGAGGGAACACAAGTAGGGGAGTGGGAGAGGGAGAAGCAAGCTTCCTGCGGAGCAGGGAGCCCGATGTGGGGCTCCATCCCAGGACCCTGCGATCATGACCTGAGCCGAAGGCAGATGCTTAATGACTGAGCCACCCAGGCGCCCCCAATTTTCTGTATTTATAGTTCAGATTCTGTTTTTTGTTTATTGTGTTTTTTAGATTCCACTTACGAGTGGAATCATATGGTATTTGTCTTTCTCCGTCTGACTTTCACTTAGCATAATATATCCAAAATATATAAAGAACTTACAGAACTCAACACTAAAAAAAACAATCTGATTAAAAGATGGGCAGAGGACCTGAATAGACATTTTTCCAAAGAAGGTATGCAAATGGCTAACAAACACATGAAAAGATGTTCAACATCACTAATCATCAGGGAAGTGCAAATCAAAATGAGATATCACCTTACATGCATCAGAATGGCTAAAATAAAAACATAGCAAATGTTGGCAAAGATGTTGTAGAAAAAGGAACATGTTCACTGTTGGTGGGAATGTAAATTGGTACAGCCACTGTGGAAAACAGTATGGAGTTTCTAAAAAGTTAAAGAAATAAAGTACAATCCAATAATTCCACTACTGGGTATTTAACCAAAGAAAATGAAAACACTAATTCAAAATAAAGAAAACACTAATTCAAAAAGATATATGCACCCGTATGTTTATTGTAGCATTATTTACAATAGCTAAGATATGGAAGCAACCTGTATCCATAGATAGAAAAATGAATAAGGATGATGTGGTATATATGTTTGTAAATGGTACGATCTCATCCTTCTTGTGGCTGTGTAATATTAATATGTAATATTACACAGCCACAAGAAGGAATTACACAGCCACAAGAAGGATGAGATCGTACCATTTACAACAATATGGATAGACCTAGAGGATATTATGCTAAGTCTCCACCCTTTGAAAGGGACTGTAAACAAATTTGCAGATGTATTTTTTTATTAGACTTTAATTTTTTAGATTAGTTTTAGGTTCACAGCAAAATTAAATGTAAGGTACAGAGTTCCCACATACCTCCTGCCCCCAGATAGCCTCCCCCATTATCAATATACCCCCCAGAGCAATACATTTGTTACAACTGATGAATGTACATTGACACATCAACACCCAAAGTTCATAGTTTACATTAAGGTTCACTCTTAGTGTTGTACATTCTTTGGATTTGGAGGAATGTATAATGACATGTATCCACCTCTAAGTATTATACAGAATAGTTTCACTGCCCTAAAAACATCCTGCAGACATTTTTTTCCCTGCAGACATTTTTTTAAAAACTGCCACATTCATCCAAATTAGCACATACTTCCTATCTTAAATTTACAATGATTTTTATTTAACTTTTAAAAATATTCAATGCTATTGGGCGCCTGGGTGGCTCAGATGGTTAAGCGTCTGCCTTCTGCTCAGGTCATGATCTCAGTCAGGGTCCTGGGATCAAGTCCCGCATCGGGTTCCCTGCTCAGTGCAGAGCCTGCTTCTCCCTCTCCCTCTGCCATTCCCTCTGCTTGTGCTCTTCTATCTCTCTGTCAAATAAATAAAATCTTTAAAAAAATAAAAAAAATAAAAAATAAAAATATTCAATGCTATCAATGAAATCAGTCATACTGTATCATAAATAGAGTGTTACTGCTAAGGAGTATTAAGGTACACAGGACCATTTGCCTACACACTAAATGTGGCACCCCACTCACCTTTGTCACCAGTGGGTTATAAGCTACTATCATCAAATCTATTTCTATAACTTCCTCCATCTTCTTCCCTTTCTTATTTATTGAGAAGCTTCTATTGGAGATAACATACTGTTTCAGTCACTGAGGGTAAGAGTCAAGAGGTAAAAGATGATAAAGATATGATCCCTGACTATAGGTTATAACTAATAGGGAGATAGATATTGAGTAGCAGTAAAATCTGTAAATAGGATGAATGCTTTGGCTGATATTAAGGCATGAGCAGAGGCATGGTTATTTGAGGGATATGGTGAATGACTGTGTATGTAGAACATGTCTGCAGAAAGGCACTGAAAACAATATATAGAGGGCTCAGAGCCATGATAAGGAATTTGTTTTGTCTCTGTAATGAGAAGACATTAACAGTTATTACAGAGGGAAATGACATGATTGTGTTTTGCAGAGTGCCTCTGAGATCAGAGGCAAGGGGACCAGCTGGGAGATTGTTGGAAAGTTTAGAGGTGAAATGTGCATTAGTTCAGATCCACCAAAATGTACTCACCAGGATGATATTAGATATGCAAGAAATTTATTGGGAGTGGGAACAGGAGAAGGCAGGGGAGTCTTTGGACTGTGAGGTCTGACCCTGGTGGAAGGGGAGAGAGAAGGGGAGGAATGGCTAGGAAAATCTTAGGCTGCAAGCACAGATCTAAGAAAGTTTTGGTCAAATGGGAGTCCTTGAGCTAAAGTCACCCATGGGAGGGTTCCCACATCTTGCAAGAATGGGTCTGCATTAGTTCTCTTGCTGTTCTTAGTAATTGGCTGGGAGCAGCCTATGGGGATTACGGTTTTTTTTTTTTTAAGATTTTATTTATTTATTTGAGACAGAGAGAATGAGAGACAGAGAGCATGAGAGGGAGGAGGGTCAGAGGGAGAAGCAGACTCCCTGCCGAGCAAGGAGCCCAATGCGGGACTCGATCCCGGGACTCCAGGATCATGACCTGAGCCGAAGGCAGTCGCTTAACCAACTGAGCCACCCAGGCGCCCCGGGGATTACGGTTTTAGTATAAACATGGTGGTTGATCCAGAGGGGCAACAGGTGGGCTGTCAATTTCTAGGCTGAGTCTCTCGAGGTGATAGTAATGTCATTAACAGGAAACAGGGAGAAGCAGAGGGTTCTGGAGGAAGGAGAGATCATGAATGTTTGAGCAGAATTGTTTGAGGTGTTCATGGAACATGCATTTGGAAATGTTGAAACAATAGTTGGAAATAATGAGTCTAGAGCTCAAGAGAGAGAGATGAGAAATGGAGTTCCAGATTTAGTGAGTCTTCTAAATGAATTCATGGGAGTGAGATGTCCTAGGGATGGAATATGGGGAGAAAAGTGGAAGTCAGGATGCTGGGAAATAGAGCATGTAAAAGGAGGCAGAGCTGTCTGAAGTGAAGTAATTAAAGAAGCTGGAGGATAAATTTTCAGGCAGGGGGTTGTGGACCCTACTCGCATATTCTGGGCCTTTCTTAGGCATAAGAGGGAGTAAAGTCCACCTGAGGATGTAAGGACACTCAGAAGTAAGAAGAGTTGAGGGGTTGCCTGTCTGGTGATGTGAGTGAGAGACAGGAAACATGAGACTGAACATTAGAGAAAAGTGGATAAGGTTCAAAACAGCTATTGTGAGCATCCAAGTAGTGGATGCTTAACCCCCCCCAAAAGTATTTTTATAAAAATGCAAACAGAATTTTAGTAAGGATTCTCAATGCCCACATCATCAACATACTGATTAAACAATGAGGAAATAAAATTTCTAAAACTCTGAAATTATTGTATTAATTAATGCACTGTGTTATTTCACAGAACTTAATAGCTGTGGGTTTTCCATTTATAAATGTTTCTCTGAAGCCCATACTTTTAAGGATGCATTTGAACTAAACATGAGAACAGTTTGTGCATTGCTTTGTCATCATGAGATTCTGTGATGGGTGATTATTGTGAATATTGAGCTAGATATTTAGGCGAGTTTTCATTGCTACACCTTTATTCACCTGTATTTTCTGAGCATTTACTATGTGCCTAACAACCTGCTATGCCCCTCCTCACAAAGAGATTATAATTTATTTTTTTTAAAGATTTTATTTATTTATTTGACAGAGAGAGAGCGAGAGAGGGAACACAAGCAGGGGGAGTGGGAGAGGGAGAAGCAGGCTTCCTGCCGAGCAGGAAGCCCGAAGCGGGGCTCGATCCTAGGACCCTGGGATCATGACCCCAAACCGAAGGCAGACGCCCAATGACTAAAGCCACCCAGGCACCCCAAGAGATTATAATTTAGTGGGTGAGATTCTGGGTTGGACTATAACTTTCTCCCTATGCCTATTCCTTTCATCTATAAAAAATTATCTCTTTCCTGCAAGCATGTTAAATTGTTTGAGTTGGACTCCTAGAACATATCCTTCCCTTCTTGTTTTTGCTCTGCTGGCTGACAAATACTCCAGGACTTCCACCCTGATTCTCATTTAAAACTTACCATTTGGCCTGATTATATAGGTAAACTGGTATTCCAGATAAACGTGAATTGCAATGTTTCTCTGTACATTTCTTTAAAAAATGCACGTGTTGTGATGAGCACTGGGTGTTATACGCAACTAATGAATCATGGAACACTACATCAAAAACTAATGATGTACTGTATGGTGGCTAACTGAACATAATAAAAAAAAATGTTCATAGATTAAATGAAGAGAGGTGATAGAGGAGGCCTCCCGTAGAAAGTACTGTGACCCAAGACCAGGGGGAAAATAACAGACATCGTGCCTCTTGTCCCCACTTCCCCACTGTGGGATGTTGTTCTCATTTTCTTACAGCTAGTATTAAGATCTTGAACCTGTATTTCTTTTGGGTGAACAAGAAGGGCTGTAGGGACATGCCTCAGCTCCTTTTGGCTTTGGAGGTGCCCCTGGAGGTAATGAGGGGCTGGGTGCAATGGGATGTTAATTAACTGAGCAATAAGATGGGGAAGAACCTGGCAGGATTAGGGTCAGGTGGATCATAGCCCCAGTCAGGCCTGCATTGTCCTGTCCCAACCACATCTTGTCACATAGGGCGGGTGCCCCTCTGAGTCTCAAAGAGTTTTCAATCTGAAGAGTTTCCATGTCCTTATTCTACACTACCCAGAGCTTACAGATTGGTTTACCTTCCTGGAATGAAGAAATTCTGTGATTCACAGACTTTGGTTGTGAAACTGTCCTTTGTTGGGGGAGGAAATTTGACAAATGAGAGGGAGTAGGGTTTATGGGCTAGGTAAGTGGGTTTAAGTCAGGCTGTTATGGGGGGAGGAGAGGGGTGCTGCAAATGATTAGGTGATGCTACAGAAAGGCTATAAATTACAATGGAATTTGTATGCAAATTCCAGGTTCCACTGAGAAAATCAGAAAATGTCCTGACAAGTGCTGTCATTCATGGTCTGTTTATCTTGATTGAGACCCTTGACCCCACCCCATGGTTTTCTGAGTAGCTTTGAAGCCAAGGATCTGCAGGTTGGCAAGAAAAATATGCTAAGGCAGTCTCTGTCCTAACATTCTGGCCCCAGCTTTCCCTTTCAGCCTCTGGCAGAAAAAGGCCTTTCTGGGCAAATTCAAATATGATTGTGTTGGTTTTCAGTCCTGATGATTTCCTTGGAGACCTTTTCTGAGTATCTTGCCAAGTACACGAAGGGCAGGGAGTGGGAGGGAGACTCCGACGCTGGTTTGAGTGGCTGTTGTTCTGACTTCCAGAAAATTCTCTGTGGACTTTTGGCCACTGTGGGGACTGACAGCTGTCTGCACTCATATATTTCACAAGGAGGATTTTGTTCTGTGCATAACATTTTAATTGAATTTTTAATTTTTGAATAACAGGTATATTGTCCAAAATTTAAAAACGGAAAGATATGTCGGTTTTGAGAAAGCAAGACTCCTTCAGTCTCCTCCTATCAGTTTCTTGAGAATCATTCCATAGATATTCTGTTAATACATAGCATATGCATATGTATTTATTCCTTTTTTAATATAAACGGCAGAATCATATATACTTTCTCTGGAAACTTAGGCCTAATATTTTAAGATTGCCAAAAACCAAAAACAAAGCATGGATACATTTTTTTCATATAATTGACACAAAAAGTAACCATAGGGTTATATGTTAGGGATAAGGCTTAAGGGTGGGGAACAATGTGTGTATGCACTCAGTACAGCCTGCCTGTCTTTTCTAATGACATTTTTTCTATTCTTGTTAAAATTCACATACATGGAAAATTAAAACCTGGGCCTAGGAACACCTGGGTGACTCAGTTGGTTAAGCGGCTGCCTTCAGCTCAGGTCATGATCCCAGGGTCCTGGGATCGAGCCCCGCATCGGGCTCCCTGCTCAGCGGGAAGCCTGCTTCTCCCTCACCCACTCCCCCTGCTTGTGTTCCCTCTGCTTGTGCTCTCTGTCAAATAAATAAAATCTTGAAAAAAACAAAAGCCTGGGCCTAGAGTGCATTGACTATTTAATAGCTAAATTGGTTTATTCCTGTTAGAAAGTATTTATTTGGTGTAGTGGTTGGTACAAAGCCCTGCTTGATATTTTAGGTGCTGGTGACAAGGGAGCTGCTATTAGAAAGTCTCTTATGTGGAATTATGTAAGGAGAAATCATTCATTCTGAATTCTGTGAAGAGGAACAGCGTGAGATCCACCTGTGGATTCTTAGAGAGTGGTGCCGAGGTCACTGAACTCTGTTCTTGGTACATTAGAACCAGGGCATTATGCAATGCTCAGAGGCAGAGGAATAAACAAGGTCAAAAGCAGGCATTTATTCCGTAAGAAAAGAAATTATTGCTTGAATTCCTGAAGGACAACTTGAGGACTTCTGTGGCTGGGGGTGCACAAGAATGCACAGTGACTGACTGTAGGCAAGCATTTGGAGAATGACACACTGTCCCTTTCTCTTTCTGTCTCATTTCCCCCCCTGGTTAGTTTCATGGCCATTCACATTAAGGAAGGCAGTTACTGGAATTGGGCCTGTTTACAGGAGGAAGCTGTTTTTGTCAGGTTGGAAGGAAGAGAAGAATGTGCACTGCTGTGGGGTTTGCTCTGGAGTAAATGGGAAGCATTTCAGAAGCATAGCCAAGAACCCACCCTACTCTTGATGACTCAAGAGTGTCCATTAGTGTGTCCTTGGTGTACAGAGGACTGCTCATTTGTTTAACTCACTTTGTTCCCAAAAGAAGGTAAATACGAAAAAGTCAAGCTTGAGAAGCAAAACTTGATCCCATAGTGCTTCTGTCCTCAAATGGTGTTGTCCTCATATGTGTGGCTCTGTGTCCACATTTCCCTTTTCTTATAGGGCAGCAGTCATGAATTAGGACTGACCCTAATATAGCATATGTTCATCTTAACTTGATTACATCGTTAAAACCCTATTTCCGAATAAGATCACGTTCACAGGTACCAGGGGTTAGGACTTCAACATATCTTTTTAGAGGACACAGTTCAATTCACAACACTCCTTTTTCCATCTCCCTCCTGTACTAGCTTCTTACCATATCTCCCTGTTTCCAGGGTCTCCCCTCTGACCTAGCCACCATATCAATAATTATCTTTCTATAATGTAGGAAAGATCATATTATTCATTACTCTATTATTCCTAAAGATTAAACTCTTGATTTGACAGATAAAGCCCTTCACAGACCATTCTCATTTGGGAGCTAGACCTTTTGTCCTCATGACATAATATGGAACAGGGATCCGTCTTACACAAGATCTTAATTGGAGTTGGCCTTGTTGAATTGTGTGCCTACCAAAAACTGCTAGTCAATCCCAGCTGGTAATGGGTTCTCAATCAACCTCTCAGAAGGACGCTTTGGGAAGTGATTGGGTTTCTTGCACGATTGCTCCTAAGGATGCCGCACTTGCATATCTCCTCAGATACTGGTTTATTGAACTTTCACTTACATTTCCTAAACTTTCAATGGAAGAAGGTAAGATTGTCTGTCAAAAGGCAGTTGGATGACATTTACTCATGAAACTGATACTTACAAAACTGTCTTCTCTTTCCTTAACCTAGTCTGGCAAAATGACACATCTCTTGTGAACTTATTTCTTGTGAAAGCATATGGAGTGGGAAGGTGGGATGGAGGGTAAAAGTGTTTTCTTTGAGGATAAAGAAGGATTAATGAGAGTAGTATTTACATAGAGTTCAGTAGGATTAAAACAAAGTGAAGCATCCTCTTAGCTAGTTTGCCATTTTAGAGACTGCTGTATATAGATTTTTCTCTGATATAGTAACAATAAAATCAGACAATTCTAAGATTTAAGTGACTGAATCCCTGAGAAGATCGTAAAGGAGCCAGACATTTGACCAAGTAGTTAAATTTTTAGCAGAATGATGTATCTTTATGCAGAAGGGCAGAGAAAGAACCATGTAAGGTCATTTGATCTAGAAACTGTCTTTCAGTGTAAGTGCCATACCTGTAGCAGGTCTGTACCTGGCCCAGCGGGGAAAGTGTAGGATCTGGAATTAGACAGACTGGGTTGTAACCATTCAATGTGAAGCCATGTAGCCTCAGGCAAGTGATCTGTGCATGCCTCAGATTCCTGAGCTGCATGAAAAGCATTTGGTACAATTCCTGGCCAAGAGTAATGCTCAGAAGTCAGATTTTGTTGTTATTATATGAATGACCTCAAATAGGTCATTTGGTCACCTGCATCCAAGAACTTTTATTATTCCTTCTTAATTATCAAAGAGTCCTAATGGGAATGCTGGTTAAAACTGCATCTTTTAGGGGCGCCTGGGTGGCTCAGTCGTTAAGCGTCTGCCTTCGGTTCAGGTCATGAGCCCAGGGTCCTGGGGTCGAGCCCCGCGTCGGGCTCCCCGCTCTGCGGGAAGCCTGCTTCTCCCTCTCCC